TCGGTTTCCTGGTCTATGAGACAGAGAGTAATAATAACACCGATGTTCGCTGTGAAGATCGGGTAGAATGATAATGTACCTTGGGCACATGCCCCTGGACAAATATACAAGTGCAAACCCGTGAGCAAGGGGCTCAGGGTCCCCACTCAGCGATTTAGTCAGCGGACCGCCCTCAGCAGGAGAGCGAGAGGCTTGATGAGGGGGCAGCTTTCAGGAAGCCAGAGCTCAGATTTGTAAGTGACCCCTCTGGTGTCGTTTCAGGATGCTACTCTGCTGAAACATTCTCCTTGCCTCTTTTTTTCTTCTTTTCCCCCACAGATGATCTTAGTAGCCATATTTTCAGAAACTGGATTTTTTGATTACTGCGCTGTAAAGGTAGGTTTGATGTAGCACTTAATGGTTATGTATGAATTGATTGACGTATTTCTTACGTGTTTATTTTTCTACTGGTACATATGTAGTGAAGAAAACTGCTATTTAAAGAAAGTATTTAAAAATTCTATCTTCTTTTTCAAAATCACTGCTGCAAGTCTGGGTAGAGTTGCCATCCTGTGTCGGGTGGCTCTGAGCAGTGCTTTCAGCTTCTCAGCAGTCCCGGAGGAAGGGGACCAGGGAGAAGTCTGCTCCAGCTGAGTGTCTGACATTCTTTAAATAGGCAGGTTGAGAGCTATGCACTAAAACTGTTTTGCTCTCTGAGCATCTAAAGATTTCAAGGCATCAGCTTCTGATTACTTTGCTTTTTGATGAAATCGTTTCAATGACTGCTTTCTAAACTTTGAACCTAGAAACATTCACTTTTATCACTGGAACCCTGGGAAACCCACCAGCAAGTTGCGACTGTCAGAATCTGTCCTGGTCCTGTCTCTCAGGGTTGGCAGGAGGAGAGCTTTGCTAATGCAAAGGCTAATTCTGGGCTTGAATTTTTGTTTTTTTGGAAACTGAAAAGTTCTTTTAAAAAATTATGTCCTCAGCAAAGCGCTCTGCAAACTCTGAATGACAGAACCGTGCTGTGATTTTTGCCGTCTTTGTGAACCATCTTGCACCTTGCCGGAGCTACCTGGCCTCCTCCTCCCAATGCCTCGGTACTAAAAGTACCCCCCAGATCGCCAAAGATCAGCAACTCTAGGGTCAGGTGGATCCAATGTCGCAGCCCAGGCTGTCCAGCCAGAAGGAGTGTGTGAAAGACTGGGGGTTATAGTGGTGGTGGGCCACCTCCTTGTGGCAACTGGACCATCACGGGGCGGCGTGAAGGAGAATCGGACGGAAGGAATGCGGGCCAGGGTGGATTTAGAACGTCCAAGTCCAGCCATCCCTGCCCTACTGCGTCCTTGGGTCTAAGTTTTAATTTCACCGGATGATGTTTATTTAGACCCTTAGTTCTTAGAGACCCTAATGAAAAGTCACATCAGTTCTTTGGCCCCACTGATCCTGGCTTGTTCTTTTTCGTGTCCCAGGCGTACCGACTGTCCCGGGGCCGGGTGTGGGCCATGATCATCATGCTGTGTCTCATCGCCGCCGTCCTTTCTGCCTTCCTGGACAATGTCACCACTGCCCTCCTCTTCACTCCTGTGACCATAAGGTATGCGGAGGGGCC